TGACGTCAAGTGATCCTCCCGCCTCAGCCTCCCAGAGTGCTAGAATTACAGGCGTGAGCCACCACACCCGGCCCTTGTTTTGTTTTTTTGAGACAGAGTCTCGCTCTGTCATGCCAGGTAGAGTGCAGTGGCATCATCATAGCTCACGGCAACCTCAAACTCCCTAGGCTCCAGTGATCTTCCTGCCTAAACCTCCCGAGTACCTGGGACTACAGGTGCATGCCACCACGCCCAGCTAAATTTTTTCTATTTTTGGTAGAGATGGGGTCTTGCTCTTGCTCAGGCTGGTCTCTAACTCCTGACCTCAAGTGATCCTCTTACCTTGGCCTCCCCGAGTGCTACAATTATAAGCATGAGCCACCACACCCAGCCTGTAAGGAAGTAGTTTTAAAACATTATAAAAACACTTGATTCTAAGATAAATAATTCACTTTCCTAGAGAAAATGTCCTGCATTTTGACAAAACATTATAAATTTACCTTTCTGCAGTAGTAGATTCATCAGCAAATTCAGCATCTGCTGAACTTTTCCTACTATTATTTGATCTCCAAGATGATGTTAAAGGAAGTTCTTCTGAAGACATAGGCCTTGGCCTTTGGCCAATCCCAGATGGTTGCTGTAAACCTGCAGACTGTTCTTCAGTGCTTAAAACAGCTATAATTACTCTTATGGTAGCTTCATCAACTTGAGACCAAGGTTTAGATTGTGCCCTCATTCGGCGTAAAAATAAGCTATGCCACTTCTGTCTGAGTTGCAGCAATAAACTGGCTGCCTGTAATAAAACAATTTCCTCAGTTCAAACAGATAAACGTAAAATGTGTATCGCATATGCAAGACACCTATTTGCTTATTAGTTAAGGTCTGTAACTGTTTCCAAAGAACATATTTTACATTTCATATAATTCACTATTAATTTCATTCTTTTTAAGGTATGAATAAAATAATTTCTCATGTACAATATTCTAGGCATTAGAAACATAAAATCAAATGCAACAGTCTAACAAGAGAGATAGTAAACAATAGTTACGGTAGAGTATGATTAACACTGAGAAAGTAGCAGCAGGGTAAATAAAGAAAACTACATTTATTTCTATTCATACTATTACTTTAGGTGCCTGTAGAACATCCAAATAATGATGTTCAGAAGGCAGCTGGATTCACAGAAAGGCCCAAGCCAGACACATAAACTTGGGAGTCATCAGTGTATAAATGGTTACCAAATCTACACATAGAGATAAGGTCCCCAGGGATTGTGCAGAGAAAATGAGAAAAACAGAGTAAGGCACAGAGTGCTGGAGAACTTAAAATTTAAGACACAAGGCATCTAAAATATAAGGTACAACACATACACAAGTGTCAGCGAAACAACCTAAGAAGGAATGACTACAGAGGATGAAGAATAATCAGTGAAGATTAATGTCACAGTAGCTAGTGACAAAGAAGTCGGGAGAGGAATAAGGAGAAAGAATCCAGAAGGGCAGGATTCAAAAAATGAGGTTATGGACAGTAGTGCCAAATACTAAAGAGAGGTCACATTTCTGAAGGACAGAAGACTAGCTTTGACAATATGGAGGACACAATTGACCTTGGTAAGTACAGTTTCAGTGAAGTGAAGGGTGGGTGGGAATGGAAGTGATGAATGAAGGGAATGGTATAAAAGCAAACCTAGCCCGTGGCAACAACTGACAGCTTGGTTACCCCTCAAAATGTATACAGAATAATATTTGAAAGCAGAGACAGAATTAAGGGAGGCTTTGTCCAGAAAATTTTTAATCTGAACAGAAACATTCATCTCTCCCAATTATGAGGTTTATGAAAAGAGAAAACAAAATGAACTCATATCTTTCTCTAAGAAACAATTACACAAAATAAAGGGAGTTCTTGTGTACCCAATACTCAATACTTTTTTATATATCCAGAAATACTCAAATATTCCTGCTATGGTTTGAATGTTTTTGCCCCCTCCAAAAATTCATGTTGAACTTAATTTTTTTTTTCTTTTCCCGAATAGTAAGTATGAACTTAATTTCCAACACAACAGTATTGGGAGGTGTTGGCTTCTGAGAGGTGATTGAGTTATGAGGGCTCTGTCCTTCTGAATGGGATTAGGGGCCCTTATAAAAGGGCTTGATAAAGGGAGTTTATCCCCTCTTGACCTTCAACTTTCTGTACAGCATTTCTCCCCTCCAGAGGACAGAGGCAAGGCATCATCCTGGAAGCAGAGAGCAGCCCTCACCCTATGCTGGCACCTTGATCTTGGACTCACCAGCCTCTAGAACTGTAAGGAATACATTCCTGTTCTTCATAAATTACTCAGTCTGAAGTATTCTGTTATAGGACCACAAACAGACTAAGACAATTACCTTCCTTAAATACTGAGCCACTCCTAAGTTTTTCAAGTCCTCTGTTGGAATAAATCCCAGTACTGCAGAAAATGCACAAGGGCCCTATCAAAACTTGAAAACAAGCTGTATTCTCTTACACTAAGGGCTCAATACTGAAGATAAATTCTGTTTCATACTGTGTATCAATTCATACTATCTAAATAAATTTATTACACTGCAAAAAGCAACTTACCTCTGGCTCTAGTTTGAAATTGAGCCACTCATCAAGTTTCAAGGCTGCCAAACTAGCAGTAGTTCTGTCCTCCATTTCACTGTCACTACTGTCATTGGGAAGGCCATCCACTGTCCAAACACATAACAAAAGAAAAAAATCACTTTTACCACCTTATATTATAACAAAAAAGTAAGTAGAATAGATACTCTTTTTATATGCAAATCCTCCTGACAGACTAAAAATTTGTGTGGGAAGTTCTCCAAACCCAAAAGATGACAAATTAAATCTCACTATTTAAAAGCAGAAAAAAAGGACATTTTGAAGACTACAACCTCTAATCACAATGCGATAAAAAAAGAAAAGACCTTAAAAACTAAAGTACAATATTTAAATAATAACTGGATGAAAAAGAAACTACATAATTTAAGAAAAGTAAAAATATAATACATATCAAGAACTATGAAATATATTCAAAGCAATACTCATATAAATTGGTTACAATTTTTTTTTTTTTTTTTT